TCGCTCAGCGGAAAGACGAAGACAACTAATAAGGCCTAGTTCCCTAAACGCTAAATAAACCCTGAACCTTAAACCCTAAACCCTGCAAGGGTCCCTATGACTAAGTTTAGGGTTTAGGGTTTAGGGTTTAGGGGTTTAGGGTTTAGGGGTCTAATTGTCCAGTATCCTGGGGAACTAAAGGTTGACCTTTGTGAGTGTATTAGGACTATACAGGCATTATTGGCATTATAGTACCCCAAAAAAGTTAAAGGTTACCTACGCTGCCACAAGGCTTAGCTGCCCAGATCATATATCCAAACCATCAAAATTTGCAGTCTAGAGGGGTGCAGAAACAAGTTCTTTAAGGGAATTAGTAGGAGGTTATTAAAAGATCTTCACGCCTATGAAGCCCCAACATTGAAAACTCCATAGCCTCAATCCCAAAGAGTAGTGCGCAGGGAATTCCAGCACTAATTTGTGCTTGATCCGGCTTCCAACTTGTTTTGGGTGGTTTACGTTAATCATTGCATCTCATCCCAAAGCCTGCATTACGAACTCGACTAATATGGGGGCCTTCGTGATTCGAATAATGGAGTTTTTGGGTACATTGTGCTACGGTTATACTAAGGAACCAGCAAAATAGTATCGTATGGAAAGATTGTCTTCTACGTAAATGATGGCAAAAATTAATGGTCGGGTCAAGTGGGACATTTAACTCAGAGCAGAAAACTTTCCATGCAATCATCATGTTTTCGATGCAGAAAACTGACTACGCGCAAAATCCAAAGCTTAAACTCCAAAGCCCTCAAACCCTGAATCCCTAAAACCGAAACTCTAGTTTACAACCCCTCAAACCTCAAACCAAAACCTCAAATTACCCTAAACTCCAATTTACAACCCCTACAACCTCAAATTAAAGCCCCAACTTACCCTAAACTCCAGTTTACAAGCCCTCAACCCTCAAATCAAAGCCCCCCCCGTAACTACCCTAAACTCCAGTTTACAACCCCTAAGACCTCAAATTAAAGCCCCCCCCCCCTCCAGGGGCAGCTGATTCAGAAGCCGAGGCTCTACTCCCCCCTCTCGCGTCAGAGGAGGCTGAGGTATTGCTCCTGGCGTTGAAGGTTTTTTTGTTTAAGTGTATCGTCGCCTGGAGTGTAGGGTTTAGGGTTTAGGGTTTAGGGTTTAGGGCTCCCCGTTGGGGCTATATCAAAAATCAAAAGTGATCATTGTTAATCCTTATTGGGGTGATCGTGTCTAATCCTTGTTGGGTTTTTTTGGGAACAAAAATGTGAACAGTTGTAGTCAACAAGGACCCAGGTTTAGGGTTTATAGGGGCCGAGGCACCAACAAAAGTGCTTCTGATTTCGGATGTTGCGTGTCCAGGGCCAAGGCTTTGGGGTGCTGTCATCATCTTCTAGGATTGCTTGGGGTTTGGGTTTAGGGTTTAG